CCAAATACTCAAAATTAAAAGAGATTTTCTAAAATGTTTGCTACCAATTTTGTTGGTAGAATGTCAACAAAAATATAATAGAATCTGTTCGTAGAATATAATAACAGATTGATTGCAGAAACTAAATAAAATCAGGAATCAGGGAATCGATTCTGTATCTTGAAATGAAAGAAAAATTACAAAAATGAGCAAACTTGCTAGGCATTGACCAATAAGATTATAAATATTTTAGTAAATTCGCTCACTTTTGTCATCTTGTTTCAAGATGCCGAATCTCCAGAGAATCAGTTGTGTGAGTGCTTTCCATTTGGTAACACAAGTTGATAGAAGTGTGTCCTTCTATCTTTGTTACTCTCTGAATGTGAAAGATAGAATGATGTTTGTGTTGATTTGTGTCATAATAAAAAGCATCTTGCGTGCATTTTGAAATGAGGTGAAAATTATAAAAATAAACCAATTCACTAGATGTTGACAAATGAAATTATAAATATTCTAGTGAATTTAATTAATTTTTGTAATTTTCATCTCATTTTAAAATACACAATCCTACTGATTTACTGTTAGATTACATATCTGTAGTTTCTGCTTAATTAAATTTAAGATGATGAATTAATATTGACCTGCAACAACATTCTGCTCTCAAATATGTATACTAGTGAATTATACTACTAACATTTTGCTTATTGAATATATGAAAAGTGCATGAAAATATTGATATATCTTATCGGAAAGAAGCTCGCTTGAATATATATTCTATTCTTGAATGATTTATCTATGAAAAATAAGTTAAAAATTCAAATATTTTTATGTGATTGTAATTATATCTTCAATTAATTTAATGAATTCAATTAATTTATTGAATAATTGTTTTGATTTGTAGCTTGAATACATATTCTATTCTTGAATGATTTATCTATGGAAAATAAGTTAAAAATTCAAATATTTTTATGTGACTGTAATTATCTTCAATTAATTTAATGAATTCAATTAATTTATTGAATAATTGTTTTGATTTGTAGTATGACATTTTGTTATTTTATTGTTTTATCATTAATATCATATTTAAAAAATTAGAATACGTTACATTTTAATTGCCTATATTTATCGTTAACTGAAGAGTTATATCTGTTCAACAATAGCATTTATGATTCAAATTTTATATTTTAATTAGATATCAGGATATGTGTTTCGTCCAAATTTTAATTAGTGTGCCAAATTTACAGAGATGCCGTTGTCAGAAGAAGATATGATGGCTTTCAAGATTCCCCGTGACAAACGCGATTATTGTGCCCACAAGTATATGGAACTACATGAGTGTAAGAGACGTCATTATCCCTTCATGTTGAAGTGCGCACATGAAAGACACCAATATAATGAGTGCTACGTTGAAGAGTAAGTATCTGATATTGTTTGGAATACCTATATCATATTATAAATTTTCAAGATACATTAATAATAATATTGTATCTGTTACAGTTACGTCATAAGAATGAAAGAATATGAAAGAGAACGTCGTCTTCTTGAAAGAGAAAAGAGAATACGGCAAGCAGTAGCAGCGTGAAAGTCCACTGAATTTTGATAAATTTGATTCATCGTCGTCGGTAACTTAGACTGCATATATGTAAAAAGGGAATTTTGTCCCATTAATGTACATAAGCTATATCAATAAAATGTATTTAACAATAAATTTTCTACTTTATGAAACGATAGATAAACGCAGTAATAATCTTTGACAATTTGCGTTAGATTAATATAAAATTCAAATTGCTAAGATCGAATTGCTGGAAGTTATTTCGGATTTTGGGCACATATTATGGTAACTATTTTGAATAGATTCCGATTAGAATTATTCCGTTTTCCCTAAAAAACATAATATAGAAATATAGAAATAATTAAATTCTAATCGAAATCATTTTTAGACTACAGAATACGTGTAAGAATACATCTCATACTTTACAGAGTGACAAAAAAGTTTGTGAGATGTTTGTGTATTTATTATAATTACGTAATAATTACGTAACACGCTGACATTATTTATTATACAATATTTTATTAATCGATTCACTGTAAAAAGTGCAGTGTTTAAAATATTTTACATTTAAATAATATTTTCCAAAATAAATGTTTAATAATAAAAGATGTTTCAGCTTTAAACAGTTTGAGTGTTTTAAATTTAAACAATGTTTAGATTTGATTATTTAATTATTAAAAAAAAGTTTTACTACATAACTATTTAAATTATTAAAAAGTATTAATTTTTTTTTTGCAAACGAAAAAAATGTCATGACAAAAATGTTATGACAATTGAAAGTTTACTTTTTTTGCTTTGAAAAACAAAACATTTATTGATACTAAACGTTTACAGTGAAGCATTTTGAAACATAAGATATTACTTACGATGCTAACAAGTATTTTGGTATATCGAAATCTGAGAGATGGTGTCGCGTTGGAAAATTTTCTTGCAAAACTGGCAAATTTAATGAAATTAATTTGTCTTTATAGAAACTAAACATTATCTAAAATAAAACAGTGTTTTCAGTTTAAAACATTTTTTAAAACTCGTTCCCAAATAATGTACTTTTAAAAATTGAACATCTTTATGTTTGTTTCCAAATAATGTACTTTTAAAAATTGAACACCTTTATGTGTTTTCGAATAAGACACTTTTCAAAACTAAACACTTTTTAATGTTTTACATGCTCGTTTAAAAATTTTAAAAGACTTTAATATCTTAAAATTAAACCTTTCATGATTGTTAGGTAATTAATTTGCAGGTGCAGATTTAAAGTAGAATTCATATTCACAAGAATTAATATTTTAATTAATATTTTATTCATCGTTATAAAATGAGAGATACAATATGTACAAGTCGGTGCACGTACGCGCGACCGGCGTATGCGAGAGCCGTAACCCTAAGATTATTGTCTCGCGTCGAAAGAATAACTTATCATCTTATCATACAACTGTTAAACTTCGAGAGTCTTATTGGAATCGCCCCTCGGCCATCGTCCTGCATTGTTCGCGATATCGCTTCGTGCGCTCCTCGTGGCTGCGCAGCTTCATCGAGGAAATCGATAAAACGGGAAGCGTCGTGCGGACGTGCAACTCCGCGGGTCCTCTCCGACGGCGTCGGACCGTGCGTCCGCGCTGGTTATATCGCCTCTTCGCGACATTCGTAATCCCGTGGAAGTAGAATAAGTGGTGAAACATCAGCGTGATTTCGCGAGATAATTCTCTTCGTTAAATCAAATAATATATAAATATACTTCTATGTACATACATCGCCTCTCTGTGCCTCACAGAATGGTGAGTTTAACAAAACGAATCGAAGCAATAAAATATGTATGATATATTAAAATTTGAAATTTCCTTCATATGTATTAGTATATGATCGCGAGTTGTTGTTAAGCTTCGTTTAGCTATACGGAAAGAATGATTTTGCTGAAGTATCAAAAAATTTAGCTAGATAATACGGATCTAAAAATAATTTTGTTAGACTGTCAAAACTATTATACGTATGGAACACTCAAACGTAATGAACAATGCTGTAAAAGGTTTTGGCATTCTAACAACCAGCTTGAACGTCCTACAAAATTATTTTGATGGTTTAACAAAATTTATTTTCTGATCTGTATCTAGCTAAATTTTTGAATATTTCAATAAAACTGTTCTTTTTGTATGGAAAGTCGTACGAAAAGAATAATTTTGCAGAAATATATAAAGTTTAATTAGATCTGAAAATAATTTTGTTAGGCCATTAAATTAATTATACAATATGTGAAACATGATGAGCAAATGCTGTAAACAATTTTTGTATTTTAGAAACCCGCTTATGTATCCTACATAATTATTTTGATAGCCCAATAAAATTATTTTCAGATCTATAGCTAGTTAAATTTTTAGATATTTTAGCAAAATTGCTCTTTTCATGATTTTTGAAGAAAATTTGAGATTTGTATCACTATGTATCGTTGATGTGGACACATGAATTCTTTCATACATTTCTAGCTATTTTTCGATATAAATTTATTGGTAAGGGTCTGTTGTAATCCATGCCGCACTGCGGCATATCTGGGAGTCTCTATATCATTGGCGAGCGTACATTGCACCTTTCCCGATTGCTCCATTTCTCGAATTGAAAAGTTGTAGCAATCTCGGTTGCTTTAAATATAATACAAAGATGAGCTTCTTAGATATATTTGTTTTACATTAATTAATCGGTTCCAGAATTATTTAAGAATTAGACAAAACATATCGCGTGTGAGTCTTTAAATTTTTATTTTAATACATTACATTGATTCTAAATATCGAACACACACACGATTGCACAATTTTTAAGACGGATTTATGGCAGAATATTTTTCCAATTGTAACCAAATTTTTCCAATGTAATTTTCAAGCTGTGTACATTTTATTATTGCTTCGTTTCGTCTTTGTGTTCCTCGTTGTGTTTATTGCAACATCAAAGTTCTAAATTTTTTATCTTCAAAAAGGAGAAAGTTACATTTATTTTATTTAACTTATTCCTCGCGACGTTTCTAAAGAACAATGTTAATTGGGCGATGGAGACCGATTAAAATTATAATAGAGGCAACATTTTAAAGCTATTAAAGTTAGTCCAAGGTGCACGCGAGACCTGAGATATTCTGTGGAAGATACATGCCCGGAAAGGGTATAACAAATAAAAATATTCTTCTGTGAGGAAGAAATCTTTGTGCTGCGCACCAATGAAACGTTTGACCTCGATTGTCTAAAACGGAAAAACGTTTCAACGCGACGTTCATGTATCGGGAGCCAATACAATTTATCTCTGCAAAAGTAATCAAACAATCACATTTGATCGCCTTACTTGACGTAAAGGCATTTCTAATAATAGTCCTTCCATCGCAAACTTTTCATTGTATCGCCTTGGTAAACAGATAAGAAATATAATAGCATTAACCCATTAATCAACTGACCCTTCTTTCCCATTTGTCAATTTTTCTGACTGTAAGATTTTTCCATGTATAAGATTTATAAATTATTATCGGCATAATTTTTGTTGATGCCATAGTTCTCTTTTTATTGACTATTTATCGACCTATTTACAATTCTATTGTTTTCAGAGTAGATTAAGAATTTCGGTATCTCGCGCGTAGATTTAAACGCGTGTATATTTAAATATTCAAATTTCTTTCGCTTTTCGTTAATCCAATTTCCAGTATATACGACTGGTCAATGAGTTCCTCATCTGTCGATACATTAATGAGCGTAAAAGTTCACCGGTATAGAAAGGAGCCACATTTCGACGCGACATGTGTGTACGTGTGTATTGCGTGTTTCGTTCGTCGGAACGAAGATTTTCCCTTTCGTATGTTCCCTCGTGTGTTCTATTCAGCCTTGAGTTCCTTTGCGGACTTTCCTTTGCGGTAAGCGGATCTGTAAAAGTCGGAGAAGAGCACGAAGAAGATTGTTGCATGAAGTAGAAGGAGGGCCGCAATCAGTTTGGGATAGCCGCAATCGAATATGAGAGCCTGTGCGCTATGCACAAACACCAGGAAGAACTGCACCTGCAAAATCAATTCAGCAATTCAGCAGATTTAACAATACAGTCGGACACTAGAATTTATAAGTGGTGAGTAAAATTATCGAGAGTCAAAAGCTGATATTTATAGTCGGATCTCAATTTTAAGACCGCCTGAAGTACAGTCTTAAGATGTCATGAATCAATCAGAGAGTCGTATTAGCATCTATTAAAGACGTTCTTAAGACGTTCTTAAAATAAGAACAGACTATGAATATCACCCAAATTAAATCTGGAAGACACCAGAACTCTGGATTTAAATTCAGAAGTCTTGAAATTTCTATATTTATATAAAAATTATATTACATATAATAGTATAGATGAATCTTGTAATATTTATCAATTTACATAATTAATTGACATAATTGATTTAAGCTTGCGTCTTTTTTAAAATACACGTTTAATAGAGAGTCAACGTATTTACACCATGCGCATTACGTTTTTCTCAATTTCTGTACAGCCGTGCGTTGCGTATTACTCGGTTGACTCGATCAACTCTGTATTGCAACCGAATTCATTAAGCGATTCGAAGAAAGAACGCAATGCAGTATGTAGCAATAACTATTCATATATCTAATATACCCAGCGCATATCGTTCTCTCTTAACGTACAACAACCGAGAGGCCAAGCCGTGAATGAGACAATATTTATAGCGTGCGAGCGTTGTTGTCGGTACAACTTTGTGTAAGGTTTACTTTACGAGAGTTAGATATTTCTCATGTCTAAATTATCTTTGAAGATCAGTATAAAACGTGAGAAAGAAAAAGCGATTCTTAGTCAATGGGGTGAGTCGTCACACATAAATGTCAAACATGCGTTGGCCGATTTATAGAAAGTATACGGATAGGCGTGCGATGGCCGAGTTTCCGACGTGCGGATAGTTAAATTCACCGTGAATTTGTCAGTAAAAACTCACACTACTTTATTATTCTTTCAATATCATGTTTAATCTTACCCTCAATCCTGTTTTCACATAAAACGGAATTTGCGAGCGAATGTGTCTGATTCTGAACGCGTTTACTTTTGAAAGATTATGTATTAATATAATAATATCTGAAAAATTCTAATTCTGAATCACGTAATAAACACGCAAATGTCGTAAATTCATGCGAAATAAAACTCTATGAAAATAGTTATCAGTTTACTTATAGATCTAAAAAAACGTTATCATACGTTTTCAATCTCACCTTTATTAAATCAAATTTCATTTAGTTAATAATACTTATTTAGGTTGCTGTATAATAATAGATAATAATAAAAATAATAAAAATATTAATAATATATAACTATATATAATATATAATATAAATTTGATTTAATAAAGGTAATGAGATTGAAAACGTATGATAACGTTTTTTTAGATCTATAATTAAACTGATAAAACTATTTTCATAGAGTTTTATTTCGCGTGAATTTATGACATTTGCGTGTTTATTATGTGATTTAGAATTAGAATTTTTCAAACTGAATAATTTGCTAAAGCTCTCTTAACTTATTTTTAAATGTCAAAGAGCTCATTATTAAATTTATCGAAGAAACCGAAAAAAATCATTGATAATCTAATATTTAATTAATCTTAATTAAGTCTTAATCTGTGAAATGGTTTGATTGATGTTGAAACAATTATGAAAATTATTTTTTACAACTCGTTTAATATGTCATACTAATTTTGCGATTGACGTATTTATTGCAGTATGTGGGATTTTCCAGACAATTTACTAGAATTTTATTCTTTTTACTCTCACTTTATTTAAATGCCAAACATCTTGCATCTTGATTCGCTGAGTACGCCATAGAAAAATTTTTTGTTAGTATATTGCAATCGACAACCTTTCACGGGATGAATTGATTGGTTTAAGAGTTTTAGATAAAAATGCACGCATCCAATTTTGTTGAAAAGCGATCGAACTATTACGTTCTTTAACTTCTTGAACTTTTCATTTAATTTCGTTCCGCAAAATTAATTTTCAAATAAAACTATGAATTTTCGATTATTATCCATTTAAACAATCAGATATCTCATTTAATTTTTTGTGTATGTAGTCGATGTAGCAACCGCGATATGTGAAAGATTAAATGACCGCATATCTATAAATCTCTCATTCGATTCAAAGTACTTTCGTCATTGAAGAAATTTTTTTTTTTAAGTGCCGCTTATGTGTTCTCGTCTTATGACGGAGTTCCTCGAGAGAATGCATCATAAGAAGATACAAAGCGGAGTCCGCTGGTACACCTGTACCTCGGCCGGACATATTCGTCGGTATGTATCAATAGTCTTGCAAGATAAACTGGGATAGGTTGAGACACATAGGTGAGGCTTCGTAGGTATGTGGCCGGTTCATGGTAGCTCGCGACGACGACGACGACAACGATGACGACGGCGGTGGCTGTAGCGGTGGTGATCGCAGCGGTGGTGGCGACGAGGACAGACGAGGACGGCGGCGGTGATGATGACGATGGTGTCGGTGGTGGTGATAGTGGTCGCGATGATGGTGATAGTGGTGGTGCACACAGGTGCTGTATGGCATATCGGAATGCCAAATTGTTGCGCCACTGCCAACGTGGTTGGCCGAGTTCGGCGGCCGGCTAAAGCGAGGTCTAGTCAAGTCGAATTGCCCAACGCGCGTTGTACTTTTCACTTTCCCTCACTCCTACCTACGTACGCTTGGCGTGAAATTTTGCCTAGGTAGAGACCGGGATTGATCGATCTAACGAACACCAATGGCCGATGGCCCAGAATCCGCGAGCAATCGCGAGTTTGTTCGCGCAATTCGCATATCCGGGCCGACCGCGCCGCCGGTTTTTCGAACGTGCTCTCTTTTCAATGATGAAGTCGATTTAAGCGGTCTCTCTATTAATAAGTACAATATTTGTCTTTCGCCGAACGAACTCCATCGATTTTTCTGATTTTCTCGCAGAAAATCGTAAGATGATTTGCCAAGTATTTTCCAAGCTTTTATCGTGACTTTGGATAGTCTTTGGTCATTCATTTATGGATAGTCCTCGAGCTAGTATTTCGCAAAACATTTTATTTCAATTTCGTCTCGTAATAAAGAATTCTATTAATCGATAAAATAAATTAAATAATTGATAAAATTAATTAAATTTTAATTATAAACTTATGTGTATGGATTATAATATACAAGCTTAGAGTTTAAAAGAAATTTTCTATTAGGTGTTGGAATTAATTCGTAGCGTTTTTTAATGAAAGAATGTTATTTATTTCACATGAGCATTAAAAAATACATTAATGAAAGTACTTCCCATCACTTGTAAAACGCTACGAATTAATTCCAACACCTAATAACTAAATATTGAATACCTATTTAAATAAATACAAAAATAAAAAAAAATATTTTCTGAAACGTTTTAAGTGGTGTAAATAATAAAAATATATTTTTTAAGTCATTATACCGTAAATTTTTGTAATTTACAATTTTTGTAAATGATTTACGTATTAAGATTTTTTATTTATTTTAATAACGTATGAGATAATTTTGGTAATCTTATTTTTTTCAAGTAGAGAGAGGATGCAACACTTTTTACTTAAGAGTAAATAATTTAGACGCTACAAATGTAAAGCGTATTATTTTCGCGTAATTCGTTTCAAGTCTACATAATGTATTTCATTACAAGTTTCGTGAAATACTTCGTAGACGAAGTATGAAGCATTAATCATCGCAGTTTTTCCCATTAATTTAAAGCGCATAATTGATTTAAAGTCATTATGGTTACCGTTGCGAGAAACCCGCGGCGAGAGACCGCGGAGAGAGAGTTTTTGATCTTAAACTGTGAAAGTATTTTTCTTTGCACGAAAAATTAGCAATGAAATACATTTCGTAAATTTCAGTGTAATCGGTGAATCTATCTTTAATAATCTATCGAAATTTTCTATCTTCAATTTTCCCAATAATTATACTGTTCTAACACGTTATAAATTCCATTGCGTCACTGTAATTGGTACTTAGTGTCTGGTTCTCATCTGAAAAACCTGTTGTTGGAACGGTGGCATACATTGCGTCAAAAAATAGATTCGTAGGAGGAAAGCAAACACACTACGCGCCTCGACGGACGATTAGCATAGTTCACGTATTGCCGATGTGCACCCTTTAAATCTTTAAAGCACACTCAATGGGTCAGTAGTGCCTATCCATTCACTTTCAACGACGTGGGTTATTATCGGCATGACGCGAAACCCGTTGTGCAAGAAGAAGGTATCACGAATCAGTTTTGATTCGATACGAAAAAAAAAAAAAAAAAATCACTCGCGCTACTATCGCACATTTGTAATTCGGAACATTGAGTTACGTGTTGCATTTTTGCGTTCTAATTGCTTGGCATTATTGCTTACAATCGAAGTGTGTACGAATCGACAAACATCTGACTGACTTAAATTATATACTACGTAACGAGAAAAGAATTCCTTTTCTAAAAGATAGTAATTTTTTCTAGATTCCTTTACGTCAAATGTATAATTCATTTTAAATTGATCTATATAAATCGGAGCAAACTTTTATCTCTATGATTTTCTACGTTAAATCATGCTTAAAATTGTGTAATTATATGTGTTAGAAAAGATTATTCCGATTATTCTTCTATTATATTTTTTGAATTCAATCTAAATGCATCGTTTAAAAATTGCGCATATTGTTTGTGTGTTTTAACTCTAATTCTCCTTAATTTTTAATTCAAATACAATTGGAACGACATATAAATTATAGTTTAAGTTTATTCGTATTAGAAAGAGATTTTTGGATTTAATTTAAGTGTACCCATTTAAAAATTGTACATATTGTTTCAATTTTATTTCTCTTTAATTTTTAGTTCAAATTCTTTAAACATCATATGAATAGTAATTAAATTTATTTATATTCTTTAAACATCATATGAGTAGTAATTCAAATTTATTCATATTAGTTTAAGAAGAGATATTTTTGGATTTGATTTAAATATACTATAAAAATTGTGGGTTCTTATTTGCTTTTTAATTTTAATTCTTCTTAATTATTAATTTAAGTTCTTGAAAGTTAGATGATTTGTATTAATTTCAGAAGAGATGCGACTAGATTGATTACTCACCAATTGTACAGTAGTTAGATGCTTTTTCCACCATAAGTACTTTTGAAATTCTGGGCCCATGGCCGCTAACATGTAATATGCATACATAACTACATGTACCGCGTTGTTTATGAGATTGCCCAAGGTACCATGACCACCCGCAATAAATTTCACGCAGATCCACGTCTCGAGGGGTGTTAGAGAATGATGATACAAATGGAGGAATGTCACCTGACTGTCCTTCTTGCGCAATACGAAGAATATCTGAAATTTCAATAAACAATGTCATTACGAAGTTTTGTCAGCTTTTGTAATTTCCTGTTATTTAACTTAAATTTAGATTCATTGACCTATGATTTAGTATCACATCCGCTTCCTCTGTCATGACCTCAAATAAATTGAAAGTAATGCTAATTAATAAGGCATATAAGCTATTCCAAAATTAGAATTAAGAAAATAGAATTAAGAAATATTTTTTACTAAGGAATTTATTTCTCCTTAATTTTTAATTCAAACTTATTTCTCCTTAATTTTTAATCAACCAAAGGTATTAAAACTTTTGAACCTTATTATTATCTAACTTAAAATTATATATTAATGGTTTAACCTATTAAAAATAATTTATCATTACTTAATTTTAAATAATTTATTTACTTGTTTATTTACTTGTAGTATATTTATTAATATTTTCAAATTAAGCTTTAAAATAAAAAGAAATAATAGAATAATTTTATCGACTGTTTATTTTAAAAAGAAAGAGTAAGTGATATTTTATTGTCGTATTAATTGCTGGTAATACGAGGCTCATGAGTTGTATCTCGTGGAAAATATCTACGTTTATTAACGGAAATGCGATGATTTTCGTCATCCAGGCACGATAGAACGCGATAGTGGAAACATACACCAGCGTCGAAATTGAGCAACGAATGACGAAAAAGCCCGCTTCGCGATGATTCCTACATTCGGTTGAATTTCGTACACGCGGTGTCGAAAATCTGTTTAAGCGCTTTCTCTCTTTATATCTCTCTTTTTCGTTTTGCTGGCAAAGCTAAACACCCGCTTTATGAATTGTCGGGTCAGAATACCTAACAAACGAGTGGCGATCGGTCGATTAAATCTTATCTGCTCCTTTAATCCGGTGGTATTGCGTGCTCGACAGCAATTCGGCACCGCTCTTGCTCACTCGCGCTAATGGGAATGATTGCTTAAGGATTATTGCGCTGTGAGAAGGGATACACGAGCGTTCGTACATAATTATGCGATTCTCGCGGAATAGCTAGCGGGAAAATAGTTTTCCACTTCTCTCTTTCTCCATCTTTCGGTCTGTTTATGCGTACATTCATTGAAAATGCAGAGCGTTCACCAGATTCCGGTACGACAAACAAGAGATAACGCAATACGTTTTTCTTGGTTGACTGCGCGCAATTTTCGAGAGAAAAGTAAGTTTGCGCGAATTAAGAATCGAAAGTGTATGCGGATAATTTTAATCGAACATTTTAATCGAATTAGATTTGGTCTAACAGAATTTTTTGTATCTCGCGTGATTTTGATTACTTTGCATAGAGATAACTCAGTATATTGATGGCATAATTCCGTTTTATTTCGAAACCTGAGGTAGATTTTCGCAATAACTTTCGTTTTTAAATCAAGAAAGGATCTAAATAAAAATACAAATGTCATAAATACAGAGGATTAATTATTTTTGGTTTTTTTAAAATAGAATATAAGAAAAAGTTTCATGTATCTCGACATATATGCGTTCTATAAAAAAATAATGCATCTCAATAGTATAATTTTATGCTTTGTTATTTCGGTAACTTCGAAAAGAATCGAAAGACATTTTTATTTTCATTATATTCTATTTATTTGTTTTCACGAATTTAATACACGCACAAATTTAATTAACAATAGATATAATTATAATGTATTTTTTTATATTAGTTTTTAAAATTTAATGAAGTTTCAAATTAATCAATTTGCAAGTTCTATGATAACTATTGTTAGTGTAACACGTATGCGAATTTATAAAAATGAAGCGTACCGTGTCAGCGAATTCCGTGAATTTGCTGATGAAATACCACCAACAGAGGTTTGCCATCCTCAAAGCCGATGGATTGTGGGAGTAATCGACCGGTTGACATTTGTAGCTATAGTCCAACAGCCATCCGGACATTAAGTGCTGCAAATGAGAAATATTCAGTTAGCTGTATTAATTACCTTTGAACAACTTAACTTTCTTGAGCGACTTCGTAAATCATTAAAGATAATAGATTACCATAAATACAAATCGTTTATTTCGACATTAACAAGAAAATTTAGAATGTTTCAAATCAAGACATAATGTAGGCTGACGTAACGTAATTTCGTGTAATATCGGTTTGAACAAATATTGATTTGATTTCATCATGTCAGAAAAAATGATAAGTATGTTTTCTCGTCGGTGCGAGAGATGACGAAAGAAAACAAATTACAGTTACTGAACGGAAAAGGAACGATACAATTTAGATAATTTGTAGATATATATTTTATATTTCTTTTAAGATATTTGATAGTACTATTTGTAATTGCTATTGGCGTTTAAAATCAATTTGATATCACTGTTTCATTATTTTTGGTGTCCTCGATTCGATTATAAATCGGTCCGAAAGTCTACCTTGAAAAGACTGTGTTACACATGTTACCAATTTTCATGCAACAAATGACAGCAAGTATAAATCTATTTCAGGAGAAACTATAGGTTTTGAGGCCATGTTCCATTTAACATATCCAATCTTTAGAAAAAGCACTGTTAAGTCGATACTTATCTCAATGTTGGCTCTTTTTCACGATGATGATTAATTCTTTTGCTGTATGTTGCATATACTTTGAATATTAAGCAGCTGTCGTTGTGGAAACTATGAGTTCTGACAATTCGACAGATAATATGAATAATTTTATTAATTTTCTTCTACACAAACGAGAATCGTGATTGTGCATTTTTTACTTTTCGTTTAGTGTCATTCGGAAATATATTGCAAAACTTTAAAAGTCTTATTTATGTAAATAATATGAAAATATATATGATAATCAGGATACATAAATCAAAATGATAAGTTTATGTATTATTTTGATTTATGATAATTATTATAATTGCAGTATTACACTTAAAAAAAAGTGTATAATTTTAAGATATTAAAATGTTTTATCTTTGTCTTCATTTTTTAAACGCTTAAAGATGTTTTAGTTTTGAACTTTTTTAATAGATAAAACTAAAGCATCTTTAAGTGTTTAAAAAATGGGGGCAAGAATAAAACACATTTCTTTTTACAGTGATATGAATTAAAAGATTGAACTGATATTAAATAGCAAAGCCAATGTTAATTGAGCTGAGAAAATTAATAAAGTGAACACATATGGGTGTATGTATAATTACTGATCCTAATCACGTGAACTCCACCTGATGCTTTATTTTTTAATCGCTTATATAAATTATCATGATGTTGATATTTTTTTGTTTGAATTTTCGTCATTCTATTATGATCGTAATCAATATTTCCGCGAACTTTATATATCAATGTAACACGCATAAATTAGAATTAGAATTAATTTCAATTGCAAGTAAAATAATATTGTTAATAAAATTAAATGTATTAAATAAAAAAAAATGTACACTATAGCATGAAAAATTTATATATATATATATATATATATATATATATATAACAAGACAAAAATTTTTTGTTAAAATATATATACATATATAAATATTCAATGAAAAAATTATTTTTTAAATACTCTTATATTTTTAGAATAAATTTTTAGAATAATTATTATTTTTTTTAATGGAGTGTTATTAAGTTAAATTCTAGGGCAGATTTTTTTATTATTTTGATTGCAATTGATTTATATATTGTTATTTGATTTATATATTGTTTCGTTCGTTATTTTGAAAAGAAGAGCCGCCACGATTTCGTATTTTAAAGCGAATCAAAACTATCGGATACTATAATGAGCAGAACTATCTTGGAAAAGCTGTGCCATTTTGCGTACATAAAAAAGCTTCCTGACCGACTCTCTAACTGAAGCAGCAGTTATTGCGGTTAGTCACTTTTGCAAAGTGCACTTTCGCGCGGATGCAACCGTTCATTATACATTCTTTGTTGCGTGAAAATTTGTTTTTTGTCTGACCTTCCGCACGGAGTTTTACTTTGTCTTTTCAATCGTGCTCCGTGGGAGTGGTACAAACGGGATGTCAGTACTTGCAATCAGTACTTTATGGAAAGTCGAAAGCAGGATGTCTCGTTGTAATGAAACGAGTGTGCGAGTGCACAGATTGATTGAGTAACGATTGAGATTTAATTACAGGGAGATACTGCAATTTAGGTATATATTTTTCTTCCTTCTTGTTTCAAACTACTGTACAGATTACTGTACTTCCTGTACAGGAAATGGCTACTATAAATAAATATTTTAATAAAATAAATATTTTCATTTAAATGCAAAATCTGAATCTTATTTAGAATATACGTTGGATATTATATTTTAAATTAATTGTCATGATGAATATATCAAAATATAAACGCAAATAGAAAAAATTGTATTATATGGATACATGAAATTCGCGGGAATATTGATAAAGATTGTAAAATAATGAAATGGAAAAATACAATTTATTGTATAAGATTCAATAATAGAATGCAATTACGTCTAAAAGACTCAAAACAATAGATCATTAGCAAGTGAAAAATAACTCGCTGTGATTTTAATATTCAAATTAAAATCACAGAATTTAATATTCAAATTAGACATTATTTAATTACGGAATAAATCTGATAACCTTTTTGTATAAAATTATATACATTCTGACAATCTTTAAAAAATAAAGAATAATATGTATTTCTGTTTACTAAGTCTAGACACATTGGTACAAGTAGATCAAGGCTCTCTCTCTCTCTCTCTCTCTCTCTCTCTCTCTCTCTCTCTCTCTCTCTCTCTCTTTCTCTCTCTCTCTCTCTATCGACGGAAAAACATATATCACATATGTTTGGAATTATATTATATAATTATGTCCTAAGTCCTTTATTGGAAAGTTATGGTAAAAAATAAAATTTTAAATTAAAAAAAAACGTTTACGAGAAAATTTTCGAAAACGATTAAGAGGAAATTTAGTAGTATTCAAATTTTATGATTTCTAAATATTTAATTGATTGAATGTTATTCGAATCTTATCAATGTTTTTGCCCACATCTAAATTAATTATATCATTTGAAGAATTGATTCAGTTAAAACTTGAAAAATTTGTAACAAGTCTGTACTTCAATTCTTGAGTATTACTTTATATCAATACTTTTTGTAATATTGGCTTTGCAAGATTACTACTTTTTATAGTAATCACGTTCTTATGGAGACATTGCAGTCAACGGGTATATATATCTAATTAAATTTCACCGCCTATCATCCATAACTATCGATTTAAAATCTATGATTCGCAGTGAATCTGAATTACTAATTAATTATAATATACAATTAAAAGTCTAATTATGGATTATTATTAATTAAGATACAAATTAATTGAATTTAATATAAAGTGATTGAAAATAATTAATCACAATATGAATCTCCACGTAATTTGTTCCACACAAATGCGTGTTAAAATAAGAAAGTCAATGATCGAGACAATAAATTTTAAATTATTCCATTTCTTTATTGTAATTCATTCACACTTTATTTGCAAGATTGGGAACTAGTTAAAAATTAGTTGTATAAAATTTACCATTTTATTTTCTTGTATTTATAATATATCGTATTTATAATATGTATGTTTATTTTGATTTATATTCATTAAGCATTATGAATATCCATAGCATTATGAATTTCCCTATGATTGTAAATCAAGTGTGATTTTTGACTTCTTAGCGATTTATATAAGAGTTACAGTTTAGCACAAGATAAGAAAACTTGCTCATTATATATCTAATATAATGTATTGTATAATGATCTCTGTGTGTGCGTGCGTGCGTGCGTGCGTGCGTGCGTGCGTGTGCGTGTGACTGGAATATCTCATCGTAGAACCTGTTGTTTTCCGGAGGGATTGGGGGGTGTGTGTGTGTGTGTGTGTGTGTGTGTATGTGTGTGTGGTTTAACTAATTAAGACGTATAAAATTTGTAATTAAGACATATTACTCTCTTATTTAAAAAATGTGATACAACTCAAAAATGTGATTTTTTAGCTATTAGCATGACTGAATTCATACTAGAGCTGCTGATAGTATCTCATTAGAAGTATCGAAGGTGTTAATGTATTAATTTCCTATGCTTGTTTTCAATTAGTGAAAAGTTATTTTGATATTAATTATATCATTAGAATTATTTGTATTATATTTATATACTTTTAATATTTTACAGTATATCTATATAATACAGTATATTGTATATCTAATACAAAAAATAGAAATAATTTAATGATATTAAATGAAAATCAATTATTAAAAGTGAACTAATTTAATAATTTAATAATTTAATTTTTATAGAAAATCATCATAACTAAAAGGAGGTGAGTTTTTATAAGGATCGTAAAATAAAAACGTTTGATCATGTCGTTGTTTCTTATAACGTTTGTCATAAGAATATATTCTTTTTGCCAATTATTTGATTAGTCAATAATTTTCTATTAAATCGAAAAAAATTGTCCTTTCTTTTTCTAAAACTTATAGCGAATTTGATTGGATACACAATATTAGTGCACAAGAGTGCGTATTATAATCGTTTTACGAACTGATTTAATTTAAATATAAAAGTAAAATGCAAATATTTCGAATTATAAAATATATATTTTGCCCAACAATATTATAAGGTGTATTTCTAAGATTTCGCGATTTAATCTATTTCTAGAGCTTTATAAAGCTAGCAGAACCAAATCAGCAGAATCAAATCGGATCTATCAGAATTTTTAGTACTCATTTTATTTAATTGTACCATTAATGATAATTTTGTACCGTGTGCCATTTCGAAAAAAATCGTGGCGGTGCTAGCTTAATATTAAACTGACAAAATCAATTCAAAATAAAAGAAAGATTGATTGCGTTGAAAGTCCGACAATCATATCGGCACGCAATTATAATTTCTGAAATTAATTTATTTAAATGAATATATATAATAATTTAACATCTTAACATTCAAACCATAGTGGCGTTTCGTATTTAAAGTAATGTATCTAACATAAACGGTCTTAAACGAAATAAAGTCTTATTTCCAAAATCTTATTATTTAATATAGAATTGTTTTTGGTAGTACAAAATAGTACAAATTCTATTAATTTCAATCCTATAATCCTATTAATTTCTGATATTATTTTTCTTTTTTTCTTTTATTTTGAATTTGTTCTGTCAGCTTAATATTAAGCATCGCTACGATTTTTTTCGAAATGGCACAAAATTATAGTAATGGTACAATTTATTACAAAATGAGTACTAAAAATTTTGACAGGTCTGATTTGATTTTGCTGATCTGTTAGCTTTATAGAGCTTATTTCTACTTATAATAAACACACAGTCGATCTATGTACGATGAGCTTAATGCGAACATTGAGTACAATTGTTCGAATTCGCTATTAATTTGTTGTGTCACTTTTGAAGTAAGAGTGATATGAAAACTGTGTTATATTTGGTACTATTTAAGCTAAATACATTGATTCCGTGATATACACTGAGAGAAAAGTATTTGGTATTAGTGAATATAATTACATTAAATTTTGATTAAGAGTTCCATTTTTACAGTTACTATTATAATATTAATAATAATTATTACACTGCTGTAATATTAATAATAATATTTATATTTATCATTCTACTAAAAATATATAGTTGGCAGGATTGATATCGAAAAAATGGACTGTAAATTATGATTAAATTATGATAATTGCAACCATTTTTTTTTCTTAATGCAACCGATGAAGTTCTAGGTCAAAGTCTTTTCTTGGATCTTTGTTAATGATTATACGATTCTATTCATCACATCTCCTTTCACTGTCACACTATGTTAGCCGTATTGGTTCGACGAACGAGGATTATACGTGGCTGTTCATTTTGATAGTTCATAATCCTCCCTGCGATTAACCATCCCATTATTTTCAATCTCGAATACATATATACCAACGGCATACTTACATCGTGACCTATATATATATATATATAACTTCCAACCGTCAGCTGAGTCCTTAGATCCCGCCGGATCGTCGGCACTCATGAACTTTGTACGTCATATACGCTATAACGAGAACTTAATGATGGCTATAAGAAAACGCGAAAGTCAAGGGTGACGTGAAAGGTTGTCTCGAGGCTCTTTCTTTCTCTCTCCCTCATATAATGCTCTCATTCTTTTCCTTTCTCTCTTATTCTTTCCATTTCTCTTGCATTTTCTACGAGTTCTATTGTTTATGCCCGCCCATGGATTGCATGATCGTAAATTATAGGATTTCTAACTTCTTCATTTCCTGATTCTTAATATTTATTTGTCTATCGATTATATCTTTTTCAACTCCTCTATTATATTTCGTTTCATAATATAGCGATTTCGAATTAGAATAATTTTCCTTACTGTATTTAATTAAATATATTACGTTAGTCTATACCAGTTAATATTTTGAAAAGGTGTTTTATTGAGTTGTTTGAAAGTTTGTGCGGATTTTTCAGTATATTCAAAAAGGAAGTATTTAATTTTAAAATATTAAAAAATTGTATTCTTGTCTCTGTTTTTTAAAAATATTTTAGTTTTAAATTTTTTCAATAAACAAAACACTATATGTTTGGATTAAAAACACTAAAACGTTTAAAATTGGACAATTTTTTATTATTAAACGTTTGTTTTGCAAAGATATTTTAAACACTGCAGTTTTTACAGTGTAAGATTTCTGTATGAAAAGGATTATGAAAATATCTACAAAATAAAAAAACATTGTGGATATAAAATGCATATATTACAGATTAAAAATATTTTTATCTAAAAAATTTTTTTATTTAAATTTTGAAAATTTGCACAGACCTTTCAAACGAATATTTTTCCAAATTATGCACTTTTATAATATATCCATGATAAGTTTGTCTTATTTTTTTGAAAATAATAAAAAAATGTTTACCTCGTACATCATTTCTAGTGAGAAGACGACTTGAAACGCGTTATACGCTACCAGGACTCCTCTGAGTTTATATGGCTTTTTGTTGGCCATCATACGCGGGCCGAATATGACAACGCTGTACAAATAAAGGAGCACGATAAGAATTGTCGGTACGGGCGAATCCATTAGCGGCCAGTCGCTAACACGTGGATCGGAAACTGTCGTGAGAATTTCCGTGTATTGATCCAGAGCCATTTTTACTAGACCTTGGGCACTTCCGAATGTCCTATTTGAATCTGTCATCTCAATCCTCAGCTCCGGCTCTCTCTCTGCTACTAATTCTGCTGCCGCCGACGCCATCTCTAAAAATGCAAATCAATATTATTAAAAATGTAATTACGATATATAATTATAATTATAAGATTTTAATCAAATCGGGAATTAAAATATTTGGAATTTAAAGCAGATGTTTCTAAAAAAACTTTGTAAATATTAATGCGTTACTTTTAGATTTTTATTAAGTTTAGAATATTTTTATACATATAATGCATGAAGAATGGATAATATACTCAAAACATTTATTTATCAAATTAAGTGCAAAGGAAAAGCTTAATTTTTTTGTAGTTATGTAGAGAGAAAATGAATATATAGAATACATAGTATATATTTTTTATATATTTTCGAATATATATTAACATAGATTATAAAGGTCATTCTTCAGGAGGTCTTTTTTACATTTTTCTGAAGCCAGCTAAGCGCCACACGTAACCGAGAAGATATGATCGTTCTTTATAATTTGATAAAGGATTAATGCGTGCAGGAATCATATTTCATTTAGTAGTAAAAGAGTTATTACCCTAAAGTTTCATGGAATTTCTAAGCATGTGTAAATCAAGGCAAATACCTAGTTTAATCCGGTTTATTGTCAGTTATAACTTAGTCCTGATGACGTACATTCATACAGATTGTTTACTCAAATCCGATTTGGACACGAATTAATTTCTTGTTCGGATAAGATTTTTTAATTTACGATTATCTTTGATAAAAAAAATTACGCGCATGTGAGTGTATATTACTTTTAAAAAAATTCATTTTGTAAATGAAAATTTTTGTATTGCTATAGGAGATCATATAAAGTAATCATAATAAAAAAAAAAAATATATATGTTATTAAAAGATTTTGAGAAAATTCTATTGATTTTTAAGTTTATCGTGCTGTAAAACAGAGAAACAATTGGAAAATTAATGTTTAACAAAAAAATTTCTTTTCAGAAATTGATCGTCTTCTGTTTTTTTTTCATGTATTACGTATAAAAGATTCTAATTTGATGAAAGATTAGTTTTTACTTGTAATGAATTCCTAAACATCAGCACGGAATTCGGGAGATACAGGTTTGAACTCCGGCTGAGGTAATATTTTTCGCAAATGATTTATAGAGTTTTAAAGATGCTTGTTAGCATCAATAATATTAAGTCGCTTAATATTATTTTAATAGTTGCTCAATTTAATTTATGATGTAACTCCAGCCTTTAGTCTCAAAAAGTATTATTAGGCAAGAAGATTTGATACTGGATTTTTCGGCACTCATTTAAGTAATGAATGATTTATCAAGTCACTTTTTATTTTTTCAGCATTTCTAAATTTTTTGTCAGATAAAATATATGTTACATCGACCGGAACAAATGATAATTTGAAGGTGCTACGTGAATACCAATTGAGACTAATTTTGCCTTATGAAACCGAAATGAGCACTACTCGATTTCTTGTGACGAAATTGATCAAAGATATTATTGCAACATGGCTAAGATATTTTACCACACCTAGCGTACTCAAAGGATGTAATGCCTTCAAACTATTATTCGTAAAATAATATCTAAAATATGTAGTCATTTAAACTGCGCTCCAAAATAATTTTTCGGATTTATAAACGCAATTAAACTACTATAATAATATCACAAATAAATTGATAATAAATATTAAATTTATATAAAAATAGTGGATTACTTATTTATATCTAATATATTTTATCAGAAATTCATATGTGTGTGTTGAGAGAGTCAAAGATTACAGCAATCCTACAATCGCAGAAGGGATTCCCGGATATCTTTCCGCTCACGTTTACGCATGCGTATATTACATGTCATTCTAATCGTTTACGTCAAAGACTTCGACGTGAATGCAATAGGTCAGGAAGTTCGTCGTGAACATCATTTAAGAATCCCGGCGTTATCGCGAAGTCATCGTTGTTGTGCTGTGCTTTCGCTGCGACTTTACGCACGGATATGAACCGGTTTCCTCCTTTCCTTACGCTTTCGTCCTTCTTCTTCCATCATTTCTCCGCATTTTCCTTTTTCGCCTCGTTTTCTATACGACCTAATAAATCACTGTTTTCGCTTCTTCCGAGCGAGCACAACGATGTCAGAGATTCGCATATGCAACGACGCTGACCGTGATGTGTGAAATTAGTGCATCACGAATCTTCACTTACCTCAGCCTACATTTTTGAAAAAGAAGCAATCTCTATTGATACAAATAATTGTACGTTTTAGCAAATGCCGATATATCTAATCCATTTAATGCAGAATTTAGTATTGGGTATTGAAACAAAAGTTCGTAGTGCTACTTTGTATCTACATGTTTTAAAAAAAAATTTGGCAATTATAACATTCGACAAAGTAAAGTTTCAATTTCGAGAATCTGCAGGTACAATGAATTGCGGCACAATGATTTTTTATGAAATTATGAGTAATTAAAGTCAAAATGCTTCTTTTATTATTTAAGTGATAACAAAAAAATCTTAGCAACATTTTTAAAAAATAAAAACTTTCACGTTAGAAAATCAAATTTTTGTAATTTTATTGGGCATATGACAGGTTTATAGATTGAGAAGAAAATTTCTCATTTTGTTCACACAGTTTGTAGTCGACTATATAGAAAAATTATCAAACTTATAAAAACTCAATGGATATGATAATTTTTCGAAAGTAGAGATTTTAAGATTAAAAATGCTTTTTTAAATTGAAATTTCGTTTATTTTTAACAAGATTACAATTGCTTGAATTTTAAAATTTGTAACACTACAAATTTTAGTTCTAACTCAGCACATCATAAATTAATATATTTCGTAAAGAAGTCGACAGCTTAAAAATACGTTAATGAATAATTGCAGATAAATATTAAAGAAATAAATCCTATTTTTATAACGCCAATATTAAATAAATTAATTTTAAATGAAGTGTACACACGTTAGGCATTAATCAGATACTAATACGTGCGTCGCTACGTTGAAATAAATCGAACAGATGTGATTCTGCTCTGTGCTAAATCTCACGCATCATCGTTGTTCAGTAATAAAGCTAATGACACATGCAATTTAGTGCAGAACCTGACGGTTGATTTCTAACGATTTCTCGACAGTTTCTTTGAATTGAAGCTGTCGAACGATACGATTTTAATATTCGACATAGATTAATGGGTGTCAATGGATTAACTCTTAAATCTCAGAATTTCTCACTATATTTTTCAATTATATATTACGTTATAAATTGCTATGTTCTAAAACTTACTTGCTTCAATGTGTAAGAATGGATTATATAGAAACGTGCCAATTCAAAAATTAAAGGAAACTCAAAAGAGTTTCGAATTTTAGAATCAATTTTATAATTGACACAATTTTTGTCAGAAAACCACTAGGAATGCAGGAATCTTTTTGATAAGATGCATGGTTGGCACTGTTGCATTCCTAGAGCACCATATAATCAAATAAATCGTCATTGATAATGAAGTAAATCGAAACGCGTTCGGTCACATTGTCACAAATCAATAAATTATTATTATATGTAATGAATTAATTATTGTATGATTAAATTTGCGCATCGATTACTGCGTGGACTTTTACTTTCCCATATATTTGTTCATTATTTTATTATAACAATGAGGCGTCTATAATAATTTTACTATTGACAATTTTTATTATTTACAAATTATAATATATTAGAAAATCATCTTTAAATATCTCTAGCAAAAAAGAGAAATTCACAACGGCAATAGGCAATATTTAACCACATAATTGCCAGCGAAATAGAAAACAACGTTATTAAAACATAATAAATATGTATATTTATGTAAATATATAATTTATGTAAAAATATAATTTACATGTAATTTATAAATATGTATGAAATTTTTGCTTTACATATATTAAATTTCCTGTTTTAATATACGTCTTCTTTTCATTAACTTTTATTAATTTTTATTACTTCCACGTGTCTTCTAACGGAAACATCTTTCTTCAATTTAATCGGTAAGTACTTGTTCAACTCTAAGCAATCATTCATTTCTGCATCATAATTTGTTTACGTTGTATGTTCAAAAAGAAAGATGACACGAAGAGAGATTAACAAGAATAAACTGCAGTGCTTGTCGGAGATTATCTAGCGAGTTTTATCGTAAATATACACACGTAATCACTCGCGAACATTTGATCTTTTTCCTCGTATAATATATAAGTTCCTCGTATAATCGCGGGACAGTCATGATGCAGATGACAAATTTGTTATATCGCCCATTAACGATTTTGCACATCTCGCTCTGTCTCTTTTTGTCGCGTCATAACATACTTATAGAGCTTTGTCAGCATTACTTGTGTCGCCGATGGACAGCATTAAATTCATGAATGACACTTTCTCGCTGTTTGTCAGAAAAGAAATCAATTTCGTAATCTTACGTACCACGCCGTATACATTATGCTGTACGATTAGATTGCGTTTTCGTTAATCTGACGACGTTTGACGATTATTAGTGATGAGTCGCTCGAACTTTCGCGCATAACAACTGATTTGTGTAATCGCGATAGAGACAGTTTGTTCTCGTAAGAGGTAATCGTGTAATCGCCTAAATCATTTTCGTCTAGTTGGTTTCCTCTTCCGCGCCCGATTTAGGCCCTACGTAACCACCCTCGGAAACGTTTCTGGTTGCTTTTTTTTTCACCGTCACATCGGGTGGCAACTTATCGTGACGAAGAGTTCGCGTAAACGTCTTTGCAATTTGTAACACTCGATCACTCACGATTTCCGTATTCGTGACGTAATTATGACAATTTGACGAGACATCTATTATCATTTTTACAAGAACGTTTTGAATTATGCCTGCAGAGAAAAAGAGAGGGTGAAAGAGAAGAGTCGACGATATATTTATGATTTCTGACATAAGATTGCTCATAATTTTCGTAATCATGATGCAACTATGTCTTCTTACTACTAGAACTTTTTAAAGAATCATACGTAATATTTATCAAAAATTGCCAAATCGTTAGTTAAAGTTTCGAGAACCCAAGTTTCAAAGTAGAAGTTTAAAGAATGG